GTATATATATATATATATATATATATATATATATATATATATAATTAAACAGCATAAATTGCAAATCAGTTTTGAGTTTCAGTGGATCATTAATAAAATGTTGATTATTTATTAAAAAAGAGAGAAATGTTTGATGGGTAATCACGTTATGTAGCTAAATCTTGTATCAAAAGGACAGCACCAATTTGTCAAAAATAACAACGGTCAAAATATTGAAAAGACAGTCCAATGTACTTTCATTTAAAAAAAGAGTCTTCTCATTGTACAACTTAACAACTGAGAATTGAAGCACATGAAGGCAGTGGCAATGGAAATACTGGAGCAGGTGTGTGGATGCTTGAGAGAAACAATGCATGCTCTGTTCACACGAGGAGAGAGCTGTTGGTCATCTTGCTTCTTGTTGCTCTCTAAAATAGTTATTGAATCAAGTGTTTACAAATGTAGGTAAACATAGATGTTTAACAATCCGTTGAAATGCACCAAAATACAGGAAATGGCATCTACTTTATTCAAAGTTTTCTTAGGAGGGGGGTGGGGACCAAGGCAAAGCTGAACTCTAAATAATTGTCAGGCTTGATCCATTTTTAAGTAATTGTTTGTACTTTTTCTGTGAGGACACAGTAATGATACAAAATAAATAAATTGTATTTGATTTGAGGAATCCACATATTATTTTTATTGGAAAGTCTTATTATATAAAGATGTAAAACGAATGTTGGAATTGAAGACAGAATTTGATAAAATACAAACTTGGTTTAAACTTAATAAATTATCATTAAATTTAGATAAAACTAAATACATGATATTTAGTAACAAAAAGAGAACTGTTGATGATCCATTTAAAATTGAGGGTGTTGAGATTTGTAGAGTTAATGAGATGAAATTTTGGGGAGTAATCATTGATGAACAGCTAACATGGAAAAATCACATAAATTCTGTAAGAACAAAAATATCTAAATCTATTGCAGTACTATACAAAGTCAGGGAATTATTAAATGATAAAGCTCCGTACATGTTGTATAACACAATCATTGTTCCACATTTAATCTATTGCATTGATGTTTGGGGGAAAGCGTGTACAACATTTACAAAACCTATTTTTATTTTACAGAAAAGAGCTGTAAGAATCATCACCAGAAAGCATTACAGTCACCCATCAAGCACATTATTTTATCAACTGAAGTTATTGAAGTTCCATGATTTGGTAGATCATAGTATTTTATCAGTTATGTATAGGGCTCAACATAACACATTACCATTAAATATCCAAATAAATTGTATTAAAAGACAAAGTTGTTATAATCTTAAGGGGATAGAGATATTTGTGAAACCAAAATTCAGAACTAGTCTGAAGGGAAGGTCTACCTCAATCCAAGGAGTTGGATTGTGGAATGGTCTAGAGAGTGATGCTAAAAATGCCAAGTCAATGTGTACATTTAAGAAAAAGATCAAAGCTGAATTGTTAAAAAAGTATATATGAAGTAGCTTAGTGTGTGTTTTGTATTAGAATTAGAAAAAATAGAAAGTTATTCATTTTGTTCTGTTACTTGAAGATTATTATGATTGAAATAATTGTTTGAAAAAAGGGGCAGATATAATAAGATTTTTTCTTCTTTCTGCTGCCTTTCATTTTAAATCTTTTTTTTTATCTTTTTTTATATTGTTATGGAATTGTTTTGTACTTTTTTAAAATGAATAAACTTTATACCATACCATACCATATGCATTATATATTGTGCATTTGCATGCATGAAATGCAACATTGATTAATTTACTGTTCCACTTACCACTGACATAAAATATCCTTTCACACAGGGTATGAGGAAAAAAAAAATCTCACATTACATAAGCAAACATCCTTACACATACACAGAAAAAAAAAAGTTGTACAAGTGTTTATGGTTCCACTATATTTCCGCAAATATTCCTAACGCATTATAAAAGCAGAAATGAATGCTCAAAACAAGACTTGTCTGTCAACATGTCCCTCCTCCTGCCCCACCTCTGACCTCACCTCTCACCACAGGCTGATTGTAAATCCATAAATACCAGTTGTAAATCCATAAATACCAGTTGAAGTCTTGAATTTGCAATAATGTTCACGGAAATGCAACCAAGTGATTACAATTTTTTTTGGTCCATTTTAAGGTGGCCACGCTGGGTTTGTGCTGTTTTACAGCTGTTCTTCTTGGTGTCTTTGTCACTTAATGAGTCATTTTTGTGTAGAAGAATGGGCGATCCTGAGAGACCTCAAATGTCTAAGGATGGGGATCTTCTGTTGGGAGGAATTTTCTACTTTCACAACAACTGGAAGAACAGAGAGAACAGTTATACACAAAAACCCCTGCCTTTAGAATGCAACAGGTAACATATGAAAAAAGATATCTGTTGTTCATCTTACCTCACTTTTATGTATATGTGTTATAGAAGTAACTGATATTTTAATACCAAAATAATTGTTAACACAAAGAAAAGCATTTTTATTACAGCTATTTAAACTTGTCTGAATTAAGTTTAAATTTCAGAGAGTTCCAATTTGTTCAAGCCATGCGTTTTGCCGTGGAGGAAATTAATAACAGTACAGACCTACTCCCAGACATTTCTCTGGGGTACAATATGTATGATACCTGCAGTTTTGTTGTCAGAGGCATAAAGGCTGGACTTGCGTTGAACAATGATGACGATGAAAATGTGTCTTCAGCATTTACGGAGCCATGTACCAGACCTGTAAAAGTGCAAGCAATAGTGGGACCAAGCTCTTCCTCTTCTAGCATGGCAATAGCTACTGTTCTTGGACCATTTCATATTCCATTGGTAAGTAGAATATTGTATTTTATCATAACATGATACAAATATATGTATATTTTTAACTGGTAGGTGCACATGTCTCTTTTAGTTGATATTGTAGTGTTCATCTGTATTTGCAATATTTGTCTAAAACAGTTTTAACACATTTCCAGATCAGCCACTTTGCTACATGTGCTTGTCTCAGTGATAAATCAAAGTACCCATCCTTTCTCAGAACACTACCCAGTGACTACTATCAGAGCAGAGCTCTGGCCTATTTGGTCAAACACTTTGGTTGGACCTGGGTTGGAGCTGTTAGAACCAGTGATGAATATGGCAACAATGGCATGGCAACATTCACAGAAACTGCTGAACAGCTGGGCATCTGTCTGGAGTATTCTATTTCTTTTTTTCAAACAGATCCAACAGAAAAACTAGAAAACATAATTAGCACAATCAGGGATTCAATTTCAAAAGTGATTGTTACTTTTATCACTCCCCCAGCCATGGATGTGCTTATTCGTGAGTTGTCCAAACACACCTTTACAGGGTATCAGTGGGTCGGCAGTGAGTCGTGGATCTTTGATTCTCAAATTGCATCAATGGATAAAAATCACATCCTGGATGGAGCTATAGGACTTTTTATCCCTAAAGCACATGTCAGTGGTCTGAGAGAGTTCATGCTGGATATAAAACCACTGAATTCATCTAATAATAACTTGTTCACAGAGTTCTGGGAAACATTATTCAGCTGCAAGTTCAAGCAGTCACAGTCAGAAGAGATTCAGAGAGAATGTACTGGACATGAGGATCTGACTGGAGTGGAAAACAGCTTCACTGACATGTCCCTCATGCCCATTTTTAACAATATTTACAAAGGAGTGTATTCAGTGGCCCATGCTCTGCACACAATTTTACAGTGTAATAAAACTTGTAACAAGAGTGTGCAGCCTGAACCATTCACTGTGAGTTTATTAACAATACTTGTGAAAAAAAAAAAAAAAAAAAAAAAAAAAAACTAATGTGCCTTAAAATAAATAAATGGTAAAACATTGTTTAAATGACATTAAATGTAAACATAAAATGTGTTTCATAATGGGTCTCATCTCTGTTTTTTGCAGATGATGTGGTTCTGATAGTTTGTACATGTAAACTTAAATTTTACTTAATTTGATGAGATAATTCCTTGTTGTTTAAGATTTTGCATCACATTCGAAATGTTTACTTCAAGACAAAAGAGGGAGAGGAGGTTTATTTTAATGAAAATGGAGATCCAGCAGCAAAGTATGAGATTATAAACTGGCAGCCAAGAGAGAACGGCATCGTGGACTTTGTCTCTGTTGGTCTTTATGATGCGTCGTTACCAGCAGACAAACAGCTACTTCTGCAAAATAAGACTTTCCATTGGGCTAATGGATCAAAGCAGGTAAAATCTACTGAAAATATTATGAGGATTATTTTTTTTAGCAAAAAAATAAATAAATAAATAAAATAAAATAAAATCTTACAATATGGGTGGTACGGTGGCACCGTGGTTAGAGCTGTCATCTCACAGACAAAGCAGTTTGGATGATTGCATCCTGGCCTGGAGACTTTCTTTGCATGTTCTCCTTATACACGCGGAGATTTTACTTTTTTCTGTGTATTCTGGTTTCCTCTAATAGACCCAAAACAAGCATATTATTTTCAATGGTAACTCTTAATAGTCTATTGGTCTGAGTGAGTGTGAGTGGTTTTGTCTCTATGTAGCCAATGGATGGACTTCAATCATTGAAGATAGGAACCACATTCCTCATGATCCAGAAAACAGAATCCATCCATCCATCCATCCATCCATCCATCCATCCATCCATCCATCCATCCATCCATCCATCCATCCATCCATCCATCCATCATCTTTTACCTGCTTTTTTCCTTTTCGGGTCATGGGGGTCACTGGTGACAATGTCCAACAGTCACTGTGCGAGGAGCAAGGTACACCCTGGACAGGTCTCCAGTCCATCACAGGGACACTTAGAAAAAAACAGGACAAACAACCATTCCCTCTCTCACTCACACCTAGGGACAATTTAGAGTTAACAATCAGCCTAACATGCATGTTTTTGGTCCGTAGAAGGAAGCTGGAGTACATGGAGAAAACCCATACATGCATGCAGAGAACATGCAAACTCCAACCAGAATGCCCCCCAGGCCGAGATTACCAACTACCAACTGTGCCACTGAGCTGCCCGAAAAGAAAAGTGTATTTGGAAAATGAATGAATGGATGGAAATACACAATATTTTATTGCATCAAATTTAGTAAAAAAAAAAAAAAAAGGACAACAGATACTTATTTTTCATGCTGCTCATTTTTAAAGAGGAATTTATGACATCATATTTGCATGTAACAGTGTTGTGCTATTTTTGTTCTTGCAGGTTCCTGTGTCAGTCTGCAGTGGAAAGTGTCCTCCAGGAACATGGAAAGTTCTCCAGAAAGGAAAACCTGTTTGCTGTCATGACTGTTTTAGATGTGCAGAGGGAGAAATGAGCAACATTACAGGTTAGTTAATATGTTTTGAAAGCTTAAAAAAAATGTTTACTGTAAAATTGTTTTTCATTACCACGGTTTTAATGAATTATATATTTTTGTAATAGTTCCAAAATGTTTTTTTTTTCCCATGTACTCCAGTTTCTCCGAAAGTGTGTAGTTTTTTTTATTTTTTATTTATTTTATTTTTTTCCCGCGTACTCCAAAATAAATACCTGGGGGCCAAGATGGTGTTGAACTGGGTTCGATCCCCAGTCATTGCGTACCTTGTGGTGTCTCTGAGCAGGACACCCCATCCCCAGTTGCTCCTGGGTCCTTCCAATAGCTGTCCACTGCTCCACCTGGTGGTGGATGGGTTAAATGCAGAGAGCCAATTTTGCCATTGTATGGGAATAATGACAACACATACACATTATTATTATTATTATTATTATTATTATTATTATTATTATAAAATTAGTGTTCATCATTTTAAAATCTTAAAGACATAACTTAAATTTAAGAACTGGGTACATGTGAAAGTGTCTAGTTTTTTATTTTTTTTATTTTTTATATATTTTCTGTCAGTAAAATAATTTACAGGTTTCATAACATGCAAGTTTTAAAAATAAAAGTGACAATAAAAACAGCACATACTTTTACTTGTCATGAACAAAACAAACCTGTGTTTTTGAATTGACATGATTAAAGAAACAAATTCACATTGACGTGAACATTTTTTTTTACATTTTTTTTGTTAAAAAGTTCAATTTCTATTGACCGCTATTGATTTATGACCGCAATAAAAGTGTTAAAGATCCTACAGAGTGACACATTTAATCTTTTATAAAAACCTTTTGGCGTTAAGGGATTTTTATGAGATTGTTTTAAAACTGTGGACAAATTTGATCAAATATGTCACATATAAACACAGTGGTGCCACATATTAACAACATATACACGGCTAAAAGAAAGGATGCCATTTATGTTTTTATATTAAAAAAATCTCAAGTATATTTAGAGGAAAAACTGCTTTGGCTGAAAAACAGTTTAAATAGAACAGATGAAGTTTCATCATTCACATCTAATTATTATCATATAATGCAAGTCATTTGAGAAACACTTGATAGCTATAATTTTCAGCAAATCAATCTAAACTTTGTTAATAATTTGCAGATTCCATCACCTGTGTGAAATGTCCTCGTGAATTCTGGTCAAATAATGAAAGAGATGCTTGTGTATTAAAAGAGGCAGAGTTTCTATCATATCAAGAAATGATGGGAATACTTCTCACCACAGCCTCGTTATTTGGAACATGTCTGACTGCTGCTGTCGCTGTCATTTTCTTCAGACACAGAAAAACTCCTCTTGTCAGAGCAAACAACTCTGAGTTGAGCTTCATGTTGCTTTTCTCCTTGACTCTGTGTTTTCTCTGCTCCCTGACCTTCATTGGACGTCCCTCTGAGTGGTCCTGTATGCTCCGTCACACAGCTTTTGGCATCACCTTCGTCCTCTGCATCTCCTGCATTTTGGGGAAAACAATGGTGGTTTTAATGGCGTTTAAAGCAACACTTCCAGGCAATAATGTGATGAAACTGTTTGGGCCGACACAGCAGAGAATCAGTGTTTTAGGTTTCACACTTATACAAGTGATCATTTGTATCATATGGTTAACGATTTCTCCACCATTCCCATCCAAGAACTTTAAGGAATTCAAAGATAAAATCATCTTGGAGTGTGCTCTGGGCTCAGCTGTAGGCTTCTGGTCTGTGCTGGGATATATTGGACTTCTTGCAGTTTTGTGTTTTGCTTTAGCTTTTCTAGCTCGAAAACTGCCGGATAATTTCAACGAAGCCAAATTCATCACCTTCAGCATGCTGATATTCTGTGCAGTCTGGATCACTTTTATCCCGGCGTACGTCAGCTCTCCAGGAAAGTTTAGTGTTGCTGTAGAAATCTTCGCCATTCTTGCTTCTAGTTTTGGACTGCTGATTTGTATCTTCATCCCAAAATGTTACATCATGTTGATGAAACCAGAAAGAAATACAAAAAAGAGCATGATGGGGAAGGGGCATTAAAACATTTCGAAGAACAGAAAATGATGACGTAGCAAAATTTTTAGAAAAACATTTCTTTTTTTCTTTTTGTTTGTTTTGTAAAAAGACTTAAGTAATTGCATTTTTTTGCTTGCTATCATTTATGTTTTGCCAGCCGATAAGTTTATGTCTTACTGTAAAGAAAGCAACTGACAACTGCATAAATCTTCTTTATGTGTGTGATGTAATAACATTTGACATAATCTTACAAGTCTCATCTTATTCCACATTTATTTTCACTGTCACCATTAGGTGAATGTGTCTTCTTGAGCAGAGGGACCTTGTGACCAATATATACTTAGACTTTAAGTAAGTTCAGTTTTGTGTTATCAAACGTGCTTTTAGTGACTCAATCCAACCTTCTTCAGATCATAGGAATGTTTTTCTAATGTCCAACAAAGTTATGGCAGGTCCTCTGGACGGTTTATTTACGTTGAAACATTTTGTCTTTTATCCAAAAGTCTTCAACTGTCCCAGGAGCCACAACAATCTCATTCCCATAACACTTACATATTGGGCCAACCAGTTTGATGGTGATAAGATGTTTTCAGGAGTCCACCCTCTCCCCCGCCAATTCGTCTGAGGCAGCCATGGCCAAAGTAGTTCAAAACATCAAAGTCCATGCTCAATAATCCAGGTTAAAACATCCAACAAAGTTAAGTCAGATCCTCTGGATGGTTTCTTTATGTAGAAACGTTTCGTGTTTCATCCAAGACGAACTTCTAGTGCATTCGTGGGCTTATTGTGCTCACCTTGTTCACGATCATCTCTGTCCCTTGAGAATCTAGCTGTTTTTTCACTATTTTTCCTTTTTATTGTCCATTTGGTCGTCATTTTCTTTTAACTTGTTCAAAAAAATGTATGCATCTTTTATGATTGTCTATTGTTGTTGTCCAATGTTGTCATCACTCTTTGTTAAAAAAAATAAACCAGGTCTCTTGTAAATGAGTCCCTGAAGCTCAGTGGGATTAACCTGTATAAATAAAGGTTGAATGACCTAAGACAAGAGTTTGCATGGTGCTCAGGTCTAAGAATGATTAATGGCCATTTTATATTTCTTTTCTTACTTAATAATTACACATCTTTTATCAGATTCTGCAGATAGTTCTGTACCCCATTCCAGCCATGTGCAGATTTATTATCTTGTTCCTGATGCCCTATGACAGCTTTTCAGCCATGTCTATTGCTATGAGACGATGTAGTGGAAGAAATTGATACTTTTGACAAATAGACTTGAAACACATAGTTCAACTGGGTGTCTGAAAATGGCTAATGGATTGAGATAGTCACCTAAGTGCCATATAAGTTCTTAACTAAACTGTGGGAGCTGGGATCCTGGTTGAGTTGTAGACAATTAAATGTGTATTTACAAATTCAGTTTTAGCTTTTATATAAAGATTCATTTTCTGGATGTTCAATTGCAATTTTGTTCCTCTCTAATAGAAAAAGACCAAATTGGGAGACTGTTCGTTTATTTGGAAAGTGATTTTAAAATTAGCAGAGAATTAAATTAATATTTCCCCCACCTTAATGTAAAGTGTTAGTGTAGAGCTGAGAGGCTCATGGCATCATAAAACACACTAATGTAAACACAATTTAAAATTTCAAGGGGCTTTCTTGGTGAAACAAAAATAATAAAAAAGATAAAATTAGATAAAAAATGGAGTAAAAACAGAACAAACAGAACAAGGAGGAGTGTATCAAGGGTCACATTGCTACTATTTGCAGATGATGTGGTTCTGCTCATGTCTTCAAACCATCAATATGAGTATGCACTGGGATGGTTCACAGACAAGTGTGAAGCAACTGGGATGAGAGTCAGCTCCTCTATGACTGAGATTATAGCTTACAACCAAAAACGTGGAATATTTCCTTTGAGACATGGATATGTCTCTAAACATCAAGCGGAGAAGCTCAAGTAGTAGTCTTTTTCAGTAGTACTGGCAGGAAGGAACGGGAGGTGAACTGATGGACCATGGCCTTATTCATAGTCATGAGGGCACTTTTCCAGTCTGTTTTGATTAAAAAAAGAAGCGTCAGGTTACAGAGCTTCCAGGCGAATTGAGATAAGATGGCCTGCAAGGTCAGCCGAGGGAGACAAATTCAGACAGGCAGAACTTTACTGAATTTATCTGCCTTGAGTCTTTGCTGGTCTCACGTAGATTCTGGATAAACCAAAAACCAAACAATTCCAAAAGCAGGAAACACGTTATCATAACTCCAATTATATATGCAATATCAGCGTCCTCGATCGACAGCAGAGATAGACAAATCACATTCCACTTCCCCCAGAGACATGTCCAGCGGCATACGTGTTGTCCTGGAAGTTCAGCTCACCTGAAGCTTGACTCATCATTGAGGAAAAAAACAATGTTGATTGCGTTGGTCTGTCTACCATCCAGCTCTCACAGATGGTATTCAAGTCTAGATTATCCATCCATCCATTATCTTTTACCCACTCCTGTCTTTTGGGTCACGTGGGTCACCGGTACCCATATCCAACAGTCAATGTGCATGAGGCGGTGGAGACCCTGGACATGGCTCCAGTCCATCACAGGGACACATAGAGACAAATGAGACAAACAACCATTCACTCTCTCACTCACACCTAGGGATTATTTAGAGTTACCAATCAGCCTAACATGCATGTTTTTGGTCTGTGGGAGGAAACTGGAGAACCTGGAGAAACTCACACATGGCTGAAGAGAACATGCAAACTCCACCCAGAATGACTCCTGGCTGGTATTCGATCCAGCGTTCTTCTCACTGAGAGGCGACAGCTCTACCCGCTGTGCCACCTTGTACACAAGTCTAGCTCATAACCAGAATAAATAAATAAATAAAACGAGGTCCTGAATGCAAATGGATAAAATAGTTTCCTCCACAAGGTGAATGGGCTCTGCCTTAGAAATAAAGTGAGGAGCTTGATCATCTGGCAGGAGCTCAAAGTAAAGTCACTGCTCCTCAACATCAAACGGAGTCAGATGAGGTGTTTCAAGCATCTGATTAGGATGTTTGCATTTCTATCTGGAGGTGGTTTTGAGCATGTATTATTATTTTTTTAATTTGTATGAATATTTTGCGAATGTCTATTGTAGTCACCCCCCCCCCCCACACCCACACACACACAGACAAATACAGTTCATCTTTTACTTTGAGTCTTGAACATTATTAAAAAAAAATACATTTTACGTGAGAGTTTTAAATTTGGGGCTCACATTAATGCTGTCACATCCTCATTATGGGATATTTTGAATGTTTCTTTCATTATTTTTTATTTTATTTTTATTGGCTGATATGGTTTTTTTGTTGTTGTTGTAGTTAAAAAAAAAA